GAAAGCAAGGTGTATTTCAGCAAATTTCCTATCTATAACAAAAGGCCTAAATGAACTGAACACTTACTGGGTTCAGTTTTGGGCCCCTCACCCCAAAAAGGCCATTGAATGACTCGAGCGTGACCAGAGAAGGGCAACGGAGCTGGGGCAGGGTCTGGAGCACAGGTCTGCTGGGGAGCGGCTGGGGGAACTGGGGGGGTTCAGTCTGGAGAAGAGGAGGCTGAGGGGAGACCTCCTGGCCCTCGGCAACTCCCTGCCAGGAGGGGGCAGAGAGGGGGGATGAGTCTCTGGAGCCAAGGCCCCAGCGCCAGGCCCCGAGGGAATGGCCTCAAGCTGCCCAGGGCAGGGTCAGGCTGGCTCTGAGGAAGGATTTCTGTGCAGAAGGGGCTGTTGGGCGTTGGAATGGGCTGCCCAGGGCAGGGGGGAGTCCCCGGGATCCCTGGAGGGGTTGAAGAGTCGGGTCGATTCAGTGCTTAAGAATCTGCTGTAGTTGGGAACCGTCAGTGCTGGGTTAACGGTTGGACTGGAGGAGCTTCAAGGTCCTCTCCAACCTCGATGATTTTGTGATTCTGTAAATATTCAGCTTTGAGGTAATTTGCTTTACCTCAGAAACACATGGCGCTATCACTCTATTCCCACATAACACTTTTCAGCAACGATCTAGCATTTTTCTTGCGGGAAGCAGTCCTGTACGCACGTTGGTTCCCAAAACAAGCAGCTGAACGTGGCTAGAGCAAGTTGGCTCTGCATGCTTTCTGGCTCTACTACGAGCACTGTGCTCTCGCTGTCTCCTCCCGCACAGTCGGGTACTTTATCTCAAAGTACTACGCTTATTTGAATGATTTGGCCAACAACCGGTCAATAAAATAAATCAATAGAACTCTATAGCAAGAATCTCCACAATGGATGTTAATTTGAGAAACGCATCAAGTATCTGGGAACAGACTTCCACATCTGGAAACGGAGATTACACGATCCAAAGTTATGGCAGCAAAGGCTGAAATACAAGTTAAATGACAGAAAAATCCCTGCTCAGGTTGTGACTTTAAGATGATGACAGGGTGCCCTGAAACAGAGATGCTCAGATCTGTAACTGAGACCGCCCTTGTGACTGGCGGACGCCGGTGGTTGTGAGGCCGGTGTGTTTACTCAGCGCCGAGGCGCAGGGGGGACGGCTCTGCCACAGCCGTGTGCCCCTCCCCTGGCACCTTGTCCTGGCTTTGTGCTGCAAAGCATCACATATTGATAACACATCCATACACACGCATGACCTATCCCCGCCTCACATTATAATGAGCCTGAAAGTCATTTTCATACGTCCTGTCCTGGTCTCCTTCCAGTCGCGTCTGCGCAGTGTGTCCCGGTGCTCGTGGGCTGGGGTCGCAGAGATGAAGTAGCTCCTCTTCCTCACTGTTGAGCTTTGTACCTCGGTTCCTGGGCTCAGGCCGGACCATGGGGTTGGGTTTGACCAGTTTTTAGGGCTGTCTCCCTATTCCATCAGGAAGCGTTCCCTCGCAGCTTCCCTTAACCAAGGTTTCTACGTTGTTCTGCTCTCTGGCCCATCGACTATCATCCATTATCCTATTTAATCTTAGTTATCTTTTACCTAACGGGCCTCTAGCCCCTAGCCTGATCTCTAAGTCTTTCATCTTCACCTCTAAACTAAGTTATATCTTCATCGCTTGAGTGCCTAATTTCTATGCCCTATTTTAATTTCCTAGCTCCTCATCTCACTTGGTACAAAAATAATGTCTGGAAACAACAAATGCAGAGCAGCACCCTTTTATAGCACGACTTTTTGACAATGTGCACTCCAGTCAGTCTCGTGGACTGAAATTCCATGGAGACAAATTAAAGTAGTTCAGCACAAGGAAAAAAAGTTGAGGAAATTCAAAGAGCAGAATAATTTCTCTGGGATAAGATCCCACATAGACCAAGAATGGGTGGGGGACCATCACGTCAAGAGAGAGAAGAGGACTTTTCTGGTCAGTGAGAACAACCAACGAGGAAGACTTGGCATCAAAAACTGTAAAATCATGTGTAGGACCAGAAGAAAGCATGGAAAGAAAGTTGGGGAAGGAAGCAGAGATAAAGTTTTGTTCAATAGCCAGGAAAAGGTGTAAAGCACATTTTATAAATAAAATTTCAAAGAAAAGGTTGGCTTGACTTCTCAGACTGAAGGATCTGTTTTCAAAACTGTTCAGTCTTGACTTAAATTGGTGGAAATCCAGGGGAGTTCGTTTCAAAGATCATCAAAGGTGGAGTTTATAAGGTTAAGGTCAACCACGCACATAAACTTTACTAGATGTGACTTCAGCTCAGATTTTCTTTTAATCTCCCTTTTCATCATCCACTCACCTGAAGATTCTTGCAGGAGAAAGCAGCAGCCTTGGTAGATATTTAACTAAGTCAAATGACAATGCTGAATTGTTTAACCTTGGTACATTCAAACAACCTCAAGATAAGAGCCCAGTGACAATTGCCATCATTTATTGTCTCCCAAGTAATTAAAAGTTAACAACTGGAAAGCTAATGAGTTGAAAAGAGCACTTCAAAGAGGGACTTGCAGACGCTGCTGCATTATCTCATCTCATTCAGAATCTTGTTGTCAACCATCTCACTGTTTCTCTGATAGCATTTGTAAACAGATGGACTTCTTCACACTTTTTCTGTATGAAAACATCTTTCTTCCCAGGCATATTGATCTCCTGGGGAAAATTCTGGAATGCAAATGGGTTTTAGCACTGCTCAGTGAACGTGCCACACAGCTGGCACTGACTGTGACACAGGGCTCTGCAACGAAGCGAAGAGCAAGTTCTGCTTTGAGAACCCACCCGGGAGGGGCAGCACGTCCCAGCGCACTTCTTCCAGCTTCGGGAGCCAGTTTTAAGAGCGTGCTGCAGAGACCGGGCAAACCGTGCAGGATGGTGCCGCAGGAATACCTCTGCTTCCCGCCGAGGTCGGGATCAGTGCCGATGGCCAAACATCCCAGAACCCACCAGAAAACCACTCTTCTTCACTGACCTAATTTCCAGGTGCGACCTTGCCTGCCAGGCGAGGGGAAGTGCTGCTCTTTAGCCTCTGAACAGCGTTCCTGTTAACCAGGACACGTTAGCTGGTGCCACTGCTCTACACCCATCACCAATGTGTGTGCACAGTAACACAGCTGGGAGACTGCACCAGTGCCCAGTGGGCAATCACAACCGTCCATCGAGCAGGCGTCTGCGTGTGCACTCGGGCCTGAATGCCTCCTACGCAAAGATAAATCACCGCCTGAGAGCCCCTGCGCTCTACTGCAGCTGGGACTGACCGGCTCTTGAACTAACAGCCTGGATGCAGTTGGAGTCTTGGCAGAAAACTGGGCTCGGTATGAGAGCTTCTTGTGGCTGCAGAGGACAGACAACTCCTCAGCTGAGGATCTCTCAGGCACCGTAGTGACCTGATTTCTCCGATAACGCTTTCGGAGGCTGACCAGATGGCACTGTGAGCATAAGGTGCTTATCCTACAGCAAATCTCCGGCCTTAGCCACTCCCTCGTGGAGCATCAGCCTGAAAATGTGGAATTAAATCCCTCTCACCCGAAGGTAGTCACAGTCAGCGCATCTGAACCATGCAAACAAATGCTGGCACGAAGGCTGAATGATGACTTGGACAAATCCATATCCAGACACCCAACTTCTTCAGCAGACTTCCACCACTGACACATTGAAAACAGAAATAATTTTTAGGAATTCCTTCTGTGCTGATACCCCTGCTCTAAGATCAAAAGACAAAGCATGACGATGTGTTCAGAAACGATGTAGGTCATCCAGTGGCTGCCATAAGCCTTATCACGATGAAGGGCCACTGGGAACCACAGACATAGGGGCACTGGGATCAACCCCCTGCTCATGTCGTTTAGTGTAGGACTAGGGAGCTCCCTTTGCTCCCCACCAGCAATTAAAAAAAAAACAAACTTGATGAGTCCTGCAGAGAAACGAGCTTTGATGAAGACAACTGCTCACATCTAGGAAGAACTGATAGATCTGAGGCAAAAAGAGACTGATGTGTAAGGGGGTTTTCCCCTCACCTTCAGCCTACAAGAGGAGAAAGTCATTGCTGAGCTTTAGACAAATGAACCCAATCTGCATTCGCCAGCTGAAAATGCTTTGCTAAAGCTGTTCATGGGGGAGTAGTTAGCCACAGCATCAGACAAAACAGCATCAGACAACAGCTCTCCAGACTCGATCCAATGAACACTGAAGTCGCCAGGAATCTTCCACTCAGTTTTGCTAAGAGTTACTTCATCAGAATTTATAAAGCTACAACAGGAGTATTTATCCCTCTGCTTTACGTTTTGCTTGAGGATATTATCTGAGATGATACTGTCCATGCAGAATTTTAGTTTTCCTTGGCAAACGTAACCACAAGAGATTGCCCTGGTAGACCAGGGTTTGGATAAACATAACTTGTCCAGAGCTCATTCTGCAACTCTACCCAGGCCCTTGCATCAGTTGTGGGCCACACAGTCTAGAGGGCTGAAAAGCCAACAGCAGAAGCCCCCATTACACCTTTTGGGACCATATTTTGTGTGCAGAATACATCGTTTTATTTCTTCTACTATCCACTTTGAGAGACGAGATCCCCAAACCTACCTCTGCCCCCACACGCTCCGTCAGCAGGGATGATGTCTCCTGTGCGCCTGACAATTCAGTCACGGTGCCAAATAGGACAGACTGATTTGGTGTAAGCTGGTGGTGTTAAACTCTAAACAAAGTGAGGGGCCGCCTGGCTCACTTAGCTGACAAGGTCAGACCAGGATCCAACATCTGTTCTGGCAGTTATAGAGATACTTCAGAAACATCTTTACTGAAAATGGAAGGCTGTGCAATCCTCATGCCTGACAGCCAAATGCACACAAAGACACAAGACACAAACAAATGCATTTGTCAGCTTGGACAAGCTAAATTTACTACTTTAAATAAGCATCCAGCCTGCGTACTTTGAAAAGCCACTGAGCAAATATGTTTCTCCTCAGGTAGTGCCAAAAAAATATACAGAGAAATGAAAGGAAAACGAAAGGCAGAACAGATGCCTGTAAGTGAAGTCGTAATCAGATGGTAGCTCTGTTCTACCAGACGAGGAAAATGGCCTGGTACATGTCAAACTCTGTTGATAAATCACCTTCCGAGGCTGACACACGACATCCCAACACCTCCAGACAGGGCAAAAAAGCATGTTTGGGCAGCAGTCACAGTTCATGCTGAAATATTCAAGGATTCCTGCTTTAGTCTGTTCAGTCAAGACCAAGACCTCACACAAGTAACATTTTTGAGTAGCCCACAACCTTAGGTTGAGGCCAGTTTGGGAAATCGAGTGAGTAAAAATACTCCAGTGCACTGGGTGACGTCCCCGCATCCCTCCAGAGACCCAGAGCGTTTCTCCAATTGAGCAAACGGTCTTCGGGGCTTATGTTTCTGCTGTCAGAGAGCACGTGTCGCCTGCAGCAGGGCTGGAGAACGTGGAGCACACTGGTTGGAGGTTGCGGAGCAAAGAGAAAAACCACACAGCATTTTTCAGATGCAAAATAAATGGGCTTAAACTCACATTAGGGAACGGAATCTTCGTACCCGTTAGCAAGACTTTATACAGAGCTGTGAACACACGTGGCCATGTTTTACAGCGTAAAACTCTGCTGCAAACACATTTAATACCAAAACATGCTTTTTACATTTACTTGTCATTTGCATTCTACGGATTCCTTCCGCGAGCTTCAAAAGACAAAATAAAAATAAAATGTTTGCCCAGTGATCAGCGGCAGAACAATCAACCACAGATCCTTCACCAACCTTCTGCCTCAGATCTTGTGAGGAGGACTGGCAGCTCCTTTATTCTCAATACAAAAATGCTATGCGTGGTAAGTAAGCTCTTCAAAAATAAGGAGCTAAGAGTCAGATCTATCTAATCTCAAAACCAAAAAGAAAATAAAGTCATAACAAGCACACAGAAGAGTCAGAAATAGGTTCAATTGCTCGGTTACAATAGAAACACTGCTGGTAAGGGAGCATGGCCACACACGAGTGCCCCCAAACTTGACCCCTGGAAATGCATTTGCCCTTGTGAGATACAACAGCCCTCGACTGTCCCATTCAACCCCCTCAAACTCCAAAGGGCACCGAGAGCACTTCTATCATATACAGTATTATGTTAAGGGAAACAGCAGTACTGTGAGTACTGAGGGGAAAACTGCTATTTGCAATCTGCAGCTCGCCCAACAGCAGAGAGGATTTCTGCTCCTCCTCATATTCGCTGGAAGGAAAACCAAATTTATGAACGTCCAATAATTCTGGTTTAAGGGGGCACCCCAGGCAGAGAACTGGCAGCATACGCGGGGGACGGGCAGAGGAGGACAGGAGACACTGGAGTGAAGAACCCAGTCGCCACTAATGACATCAGCAGAGGGTGCTTCAGTTTCACTGTTACCCAGCCCTGTGGTATTATTCTTGGCCTTTATTTCAAGCTCCAGTGAGTTTTATTTATTAAGGTGGACACACAGCTCAGGTGTCTTAAAAGAACAGCTGCCTTCTGGCTTCAGAGAGAAGGGATTTAATGTGATTAGCTTTAACACCCTTTCAGTAGGCTGTTTAATAACCACCTGATGACGTTCTGGGAAGTTAAAGAACAGTTCCTTTGCTTTTAAAGCCAGATTTAAACCCCTAGAGGAGATATTGCAAAGTTTAGCACTGTACTTGAATCTGGTCCTTTACCACTATTTTAACAACCCTGCTTATCTAGTTCCTCAGCTCCTTCTAAATGATGAGCTCTTTCTCACTCACTAGAAATTCACTCCCAAGTGGATTTTGAGCATTGAGAACAAAGACTGCGGGAAAAATCATCATGTGCTTAGCTACAAAGAAAATTATTTTGCCAATATAAATCATTCACAGAAAAGATTAAATATGCATACAGACTCCTAACCAGAAACAACAACATCAGCCCTTTCCCGCCTTTTAGGCAGTGCAAAAATGCAACCCGAGTGATTCGGCCGGCCCTTCAGCCAGCTCTCCTCTTTCTCTTATATGAGGAGCTGATTCCCTGTTCGGAGCAGAGGGACATGGAACTGCCACACTCCAGCGGCAGCCCGGCAGCTTTGCCCGACTCTTTAGTTGCCAGGCTAACGTTAACAAGATGAAGGAGCCTGAGTGAATGCATAAGCAGTACTGACTGAAGCCTTTCCCAAACCAAAAATAAAGTAATATAGAGTCATGTCCTGTCTGTGAAAGGAGGGCCCTCAACCAAGTAAAGCGCTGGCAGGCAGATGCTTTTCACCCTGCTCACAGTCTGCTCATTTTAACTGTGGAAGGGGTCCAGAAGCCATCAGCTGGGCTCGCTGAGGACAAGGCATGCAGTGTTTCCTGATTTCCATCTGAGTCATTCTGAAATGTATACCTGTAAAACAAAGATAGAAAGGAGAGAAAACGGAGATGTTTAATTGGGAGTGTGAAGAATGGCACAAAACTTTAATATCTGAAGCTGAGCCATGTTTGTATGGGCAAGCTTAGACTATCAGTGGTCTGAAAATAAAAAGGAATGTGATGGCAGGTTGGTTTGTTTTGTTGTTTGGTTTTTTTCCCTTCATTAGATTGCGAGATCACTCATTCCCAGCAGCTTTCCCCCCTGCACCAAGGGTACACAATCACCCAAAGTATGATTGCTGCTGCTGAAAGTTTCCCCCGTCAGATGAAGGGCTTCACAGACACAGGGGCAGTACTCTCGTTCTCTCTAGAACCCGAGTCCCACAATCAACACATTACACAGTATCTGCCTCTCACTGCCATCACATTCACCATCTTTCCTGGGAAGAAGCCACAGGCTGACATTAGCTTGAAATATTTGCTTTCTGGGGCAGTAATTGTTTCTGATGGAAGAACAAAGTTCCAGAAAATCAGTGGTTTTGCTTCAAAAGCAGCCAGTACGGTTAAATTATCCCCTCCTTAAGCTGCACCGAGCCTCCAAGTGGCTTTTGCAGCCTCCCCACGGCAGATGCCCAGCCCAGAGAACAGTGCAGAGAAGCACCGAGTGTGTGCTGTGCCCGCAGCGTACAAAGCCAGCGCCATTCCCCTAGGAAGGACAGCAACACGGAACAACAAATCCCACAGAAAGCTCACAACGACGACACAAAACCAAGCCAACATTGTAGAGCTCCAGAGCAGAACCACAACCGAAACAAAACACTGGGTTTAGCTCTGGGCACTTGCTGCATCAGGTCTGAGCTTTTGCATCTGCAGCAGTCAGCGGGACGCAGAGCAAGGCTCGTCACACCAGCAGGTCTGTACCAGCCAGCGGCACCCCGTGCAGGACCAAACGGCAATGCCTGACCTAAAAAAAGGGGCGTTGGGACTAGATGGTCTTTAAGGTCCCTTCCAGCCTTTAATTAAAGTTATCAGCTAGCCATTTTAATGAATTTAGAAACTTTAAGACATCAAATGTTGTTATTCTAAAGAGCATATCTAATCTTCTTATCTTAGACTTGTCCATGGTTTAGCTCTTTTTACTGGGGTCTCACTGAAACCAGGGATACTATGGACATACAGAAAGAAGTAAATTGAGTGGTTCAGGGCTAGTGATGGTGCGAATCACCATAGCGAGGATGTATGAAAGTGGACAAGATTGCCAAAGCTATCATTTATACAGTGAGAGCACTGATATGATGGCAGAAATTCCAGTAACGGCTTTAAAAAAACACTGATCCTTTCTGCAGGAAATCATTCTTTTGCTATCAAAAGTAGCTCTAACTAGAACACTAGATTTAATTCTTCCATTGTCCATCTGAACAAGAAGCCGTTACCTCCCAGCAGCTGACTTACTCCCTCCTTGCATGATCTTGTTTCAGAGCCAAGAAAACGAAGCTGGTTGAAGCCTTGTGCAGGTACACGGGGTATTTTCAGTAAACAAAAAGGCACACAGGCAGGAAACACTGAGCTTGTAGCTGGAAGAATTTTCATCTGACTACCAGCTCACAGTTAGGCACCAGCCCGTCAGAAACAGAAAGAAAAAACGTAGAGAAGATTGGTTTTTCTGAAAGGACAGCTGTACCGTTGTAAGCCCCTACCCAGAACGCAGCTCCTTCAAAAAGCAACACAATGCTTGGCCCTCGCTTTGAAGGCCACTGCATTTCCCCTTAGAATAAACAGTCTAGAGAGCACAGGGTAGCTGTCCCCTTCCACTTGCTCTAGGCAGGGAACACATCAGCTAGAAAAGGCTGATAAATACTCCAACGCAAGTACTCCTGTGCAGCCTGCAGACATCCCACATTTAGAACAAATCCCATCTCAAGCAATTCTTGTTCCCGGTAGGGCTGCGGGTTCAAAATCTGAAGTTTGTGGAATTTACAGAATCACACTTCGGTTGATTCCTCAAAACACGGAGGTGGGTGCAGCCCCAGAGAGATGGTGCCGGGATACAGCAAGGCAGAGCCGCCATAAAACTTCGCTTCTGCAGCCTCTGCTCCTGGCAGCGGGGAGCTCTGCGGGGGTACTCTGCTTCCTGCCCTCGATTAGACTAGATCCTATTTCTCGGGATTGTTTCCACTGTGAGCATTAGATGGATTCTCTACTACACTCACTCTGCCCAATCCAAACGCTCCCTGACGCGACTGAGAAGAGAACAACCTCTCAGCGGTGCAGTGAGAATACTACCTGCGTGGCAAACTGAGGTCTGCAGATGAAACAGCCTCTAAGTGCTGTGACTTACCTGTAACGATTACCCAATTAACGTGATGAAACCCTAAATCTCATTACCTTTATGCACCTTTTTGTGGAGTTTGGGCAGATTTAAGCAGCACACTTTCTTCACCTTCCGACCTAAGGGCGAAAAATAATACATTACCAGCGGAGACAGATAATGCAAACAGCTGAACATACACAGCAATGGGTTAGAGCCCACAGAAATTCTGATTATTGTATTTACCACTGAAACCCTTGTACAGAGAGATCTGTGAAACGCAGGGTCACCGCGACTGAGTTTTACATCTGTGCATGGCTTTTTCTGGAGCACAGAACAGGAATTAATTTGTTCTTTTCCATCATTACGAGCAGATATGCCAGATAGATTGTGAAGATTTTTACCCTTTGAAATGTCACGTGTTGGCAGGCAATACAGGCAGCAAGCTCCAGTAGTCAACGTAAGAGAGAGACTCTGCACTCTCTTTATAGTTCTGTCCCTTAATGAAAATATAAAAGATTACGAACAGGAAAAAAAAGAGTATCTCTGTCCGTATGCACAGGAGTGGAGGATAAATTGCTTTGGATGGGCAAAACCATTTAATTATTCCCTCCCCAACAGACCTACGTAAGAGCTGTTGATCGCACTTGACACATTATGTGCTGGACACATCAGAGGGAGGAGAAGTCAACCACGGTGGGTCCCCGAGATTTGTAACATCAAACGTCAGATCTGAACGGGTAACCAGAAGTTACACCTGTCAACTCTAAAATCCTACTAAACTGTCTCCCTGCGAATCCAGAATGACTTCTCCATAGACAGATGGAAAAACCTCTGGTTTTTAGATTTAAACTGCTCTGTGAATTTGTGCACTTCGGAATACTGCAGAAGAGTAACTGGGTGCCACAGGGCAATACAGTAATTCAAGTGCATAATGTCAGATAT